GGGACATTATCCAGAGGACCAACATCTACTTTATGCTAATCCCAGAGGGAGCAGAGAAACAAATGGGGGAAAAGGAATGTTTGAAGAAATAATGACAAAACCTTCCCAAATTTGATAGAAGGGAAGGCATTTTTCAAATATATTTTTTGTGACTTCAGTAAAAATACATTCACTTTTAATGTTTTGAACGAATATTTAATTCTCTTGATAGTCTGTTACTCTAGGTTGACCATGTCATTTTTTATTGCAGTGGTCTAAAGTATTAATTTTTTTCTCTGAATTTCATCTGCTTTGAAAATGTATGGCCCATACCCTCAATTTCCTCATCAAATCTGATGAAAATATTCTGCTGCATTTTTTCTGAGTTTTTCCACACTGTGGCCAGACTGCTAACTGTTGTATTCTATACAGTTGATTGCAGCAAAGAACAGTTTTCTGATGGTGATAAGGTTTAAATCACATGCTCTATCCTTAGGTGATTAGTGAAAATAGCTAACAAAGTAAAATTAAAGTCATTGCTGGTTATCAGACATTGGACTCAGCGTTCTCTTCTCGGTCTGCAAAGCCGTTCTCTCATAAAGGAAAAGGAAGTGAAAGAAAGCATTCTTTCACTTAACACTTGTTCAGTAAATATTTATAAAGCATTTGCAACGAGTGAGGCATAAACTAGACAGTGGGACTGAAGTGTTGAGCATAATTGAAACAGTGTGGCTCCCAGAGGCACCTTGGAATAGAGGAAGGTTGATGGATTATCAGTCCCAAGTCCAGTCCCGAATTATGGCTCCAGTTCAGTCATGCAATGGCTGTATAATTTTGGCAGATACATGTAACGTAAGGCCTTGGTGGCCTTCTTCATAGTATCAGTGCCTATAGCAGTGTTAGCACTTTATTATCCCACAAGTTGATTTCCTCTTTGGCATGTAAACGTTATTTTAAAGTTGTGTCTTCCTTTTAGAACTTGATTACCATCTTTACTTGTGTATAAGCCGAGTTTTCCAGCATATTTTTAATGCAGTTTTTGTGGTAAAATTAGGTGCCTTGGCTGATATTCGGGTTGGCTTATACTCGGGCATGTACGGTATTTGGTTTACTATTGCATGTCGAGAACTTAAGTTTCTAATCTCTTTGTTCTACATCAGTATCCTCACACCCTAACCATACACACACACACACACACACACACACACACACACACACTCACAAGTGCATGTACATATTTGTAATGATGTGTAGTGCATATTCTAAGGGCAAAGTTTGGTCCTCCTCTGTAAAGGTGTCCAGAAAATAATATAACACAGATACTGAAGGCAGCTTGTTCTTAACTTGTAGCTAAACATGACATTCAAATGTTAATTGGATGAATAAATCTTGTTCATTTTACAGACATGAAAATGTCAATGGAATAAAACTATTTATCAAAAGATAATGGTCCCCTGCCACTAGATAAATGCCAAGATGAAGATACTTATTGAAAAATGTATCAAAATATTCTACTGCTGTTTATTGAAAATAAAGGTTGAAGAAAAGTTCAGCTTTTCAGTTCTCACATGAGAAATGCCCTGCCAATTATTTTAGTGTATTACTATATCAAAGACAATACACATGGTACAGAAATATTGGGAAATTCTAAGAAGTGAAACTATAGAAATGATCCTTTAACTTATAGCATGATAATTGCTGGAATGGTAGAATCGAAGCAAGCAGGAATCTCGAACATTTGCTGAGCTCCTATTACGTACTTTACACAGTCCTGGAGGCTTTTATTGAAGCTTGTTTTAGGAAAATGCAATTCAATTTGAAAGCTATTATTCTCATTTTATACTTTAAGTTAAAAGCATGGTAATGTTGAAAGAGATGTGCCAACATGGGTATTCAAATTTAGTGTGAACTCCAAATATAGTGCTCTTTTCCTTTACCCCAGATCTCTGCTTTCATTATCTAAGTCTAAATACAGGAGATGGTGTTGCTGTTGCCGTTGTTCTTTAGGGTTTTATTTGCTAGATTATTTCCCCAAATGTTGTTCCATTTCTTGGCCAAATTATTTCTATGGATATAATAATTTCCACTGGGCTATAATGATTAGCACTGGGCTGCTAATTGCAAGGTCATCAGTTCAAACCACCAGCCAGTCCGTGAGAGAAAGATGAGGCTTTCTGCTCCCATTACAGATGCACAACAGCCTTGGAAACCCCGAGGAGGGAGAGCTACACTCTGCCCTGTAGGGTGGCAGGGAGTTGGGATCAGTTCAATGACAGTAGGTGAAGTGCGTGTGTGTGTGTATATGTGTGCGCGTGCGCGCGTTTCAATAATGTCATTTGTTAAATAGATGTCATTCTTGTCCTGAAGAAAAGAGTCCATCCTTTATAGTCTTGAGGACTTGAAAGCTTTAAATGGTCCAAGTAGCACTGACTCCCAGCAGTTACACTACCTTCTTTTCAGCAGTGAGGGATTTAGAGGTGTCAAGTGAATCCTCTCTGCTTTCGTTTCTGAATTTAGATACTTAGGGTTTTCTTTCAGTATCTTAAGTGGAAGTGCCGTAGTGGTCTTCATAAAGCACATTATTTAGATGGTTACTGATCATAGGGAGATAGTTGAAGCTGTTAAGCAGAGAAGATGAATTATTGTCTACTAAAACTTTTCCTGGGAACCTGGTGGTGTGCACTAGGTTAGGTTTTGGGCTGCTAACTGCAAGGTCAGTGGTTCAAACCCACCAGCCACTCAGGAAGAAAAAAAAGAGATGAGGCCATCTGCTCCTATAAAGATGGACAGTCTCAGACATTCTATAGAGAGTCGGAACCAACTCAATGGCAGTGAGCTTGATGCTTTAATCTCGTCACGCCACCTCTCTCCTCTCCGTTCCTCTCTTCATTCCAACCTCTCCCCTTCTCCTCTCCCCTCCACTGACCTCTTTTTCTTGCCTGCCGCACACACTGAGGGTTCCTGTCTCCCTCATCTGGACCATCATAGAAATGCGATTTTCTTCTGCCCACCAGGTCCATCGAGTTGACTCGCCACAGTTAACAAACCTGGGTTTGATTTGCAACCAGTGCCCCTCAAGCACAGCCATGACTCATCTGCCCTGGAGGCTTGCATGTTGCTGGGCTGCCGTGCAGACCTCAGCAGAGCGTCCAGACTACGACAAATTAACAAAACGACCTGATGATCTGACTCTGGGAACCAGCCACGGAAAACCATGGGGATGACAGCAGTGCACTCTCATTGTGCACAAAGCCAGACTCACTGCCATCCAGCGGGTGCCGGCCCATCGTGACCCCATTGGACAGGGCAGAACCGCCCCTGTGCGCTTCCAAGATTGTAACTCCTTTTTTTTTTTTTTTTTTTTTAAACTGATTGCAACTCTTTACAGGAGTAGAAAGCCCATCTTTCTCGTTACTAGCGGCAGGTAGTTTTGAACTGCTGGTCTTGAAGTTAGCAGGCCAATGCATAACCACTATGTCCCCAAGGCGCCTTCATTGTGCACAGGGTCATCATAAGTCAGAGGCCATCTCCACAGAAGCTGTTCAGAACACCAACAGTTGCTAATATACTTGTCATAATCTTCCAAGTAAATGATACATTCTTTACGAAGAGAAAGTGTGTGTTTTCTTCTCTGTATGAACATTATAGGCGCTCAGTAAAAGAGAAAAATAAAAGAAATGTGATCGCAGTCTCTTCAGTTGTAAAGACTAGAGAAAATATGAGGAGCCCGGTGGCATAGTGGTTACGTATTGGGCTGCAACCATCAGCCACTCTGCAGGAGAAATATGAGGCTTCTGTTTCTTATAACCAGCCACAGGCTCAGAAACTCAAGACAGTTCTACCCTGTTTTATAGGGTTGCTATGAGTTGGCATTGACTCAATGGCAGTGAGTTTTTGAAAGTATAAGTCTGCCTGCCTAGTCTTCTAGCTTGCTTGTATCTGTCCGTTTTCTCTAAAACACATCACTTTTATTTCCTTTATAAAATTTCTAGAGACAATGAATGAGCAAATAATTTAACTGCAAGATGGTGCGAGGAGTTTGAATGCTTCCGATTTCCTCAGGAAGGAAATAGTAATCCATATAACACTCGTTTGATATGTAACTAGAATATGTGCCAGTAAACTTTTTTTTTGATGTCAGTATTTGACATAGTTAAAGCTTATTGTGCCAACCTGGCTGATAAACACATGTGGGGTTAATTTTTTTAAATCATTTTATTAGGGGCTCATACAGCTCTTATCACAATCCATACACACATCAATTGTGTAAAGCGCATTTGTACATTCATTACCCTCATCATTCTCAAAACATTTCCTCTCCACTTAAGCCC